CACCGGAGCCCGGGATCAGCAGGACGGCAGCGGGGGGGGGGGGGGGGGGCGCTGTTATAATTAAAAAAAGTCCACATATTCAGCAAGATGCAAACCCCAACTGAATGACATCCGTCCTGCGCACTGTGTAGCAAAAACTAATTGCCATTTTTGTAAAAATAGAATACTTGCTTTTACGCTTTTTTTTTCTTTTATACATCTCAGTGCTGCTGATCTCCTGCAGCCACTTCCTGTCTATATGCACACCAGCGATGGCTGCATGGCATCTCTCAGGGCGGGATTCCTGATGGTGACCACACTGGATCATGTCTGTGTAACGTATGCTGAAATGGCCGCTGGTAGGTTTCAGCATGTAATCCCAACCTGAAAAAAGCCATTTCAGGGAGGTGCACTCCCCCCATCCCCGCGGACGGGGGGGGAGGGGATTGAGCATCCCCCTGAAATGATGGCAGATCGCAAAGAAGCTATTGGTTCCCGTGCGATCTGCTGTTTTCTGACAGCTGCTGCTGTCAGAAAAAAAACAAACAGCATAGGAATGAATAGCTAGATTGCTATTGGCTATTGCACCCGCCCTCTGCTGCTGTCAATCACTAGAAGAGGACCTGATGGAGAACTTCAGGTCCCCCCCTGCTGATTGACAGCAGCAGAGGGCGGGTGCAATAGCTAGTCTGCTATTGGCTATTGCAAAGCCAATAGGAATCCAGCTATTCATTCCTATGCTGGGTTTTTTTTCTCTGACTGCCGGCGGCCCCGATGTCAGAAAAAAAAGAAAACAGACAGCAGGGAAAAGTAAGCTTTCTGGGAGAAAATGTTTCTCTCCCGGGTGTCTGCGAGCCTCTATCTAATAGAGGGAGACTCCTGGAATGTCCTAAGAAATTCCCTGCAGCCAAAGCTGGAGTGCATGTAGACAGGAAGTGGCTGCAAACAGGCTGCAGGAGATTAAGGGATAAAAAGGGGATAAAAAAAGGAATAAAACAAAAATCAAATATTGACATCCAAAGCGTTTCGGAGGTTCATGGATAAATCCCTCTTCATCAGGGCTTAGGTTTATTGTGCAAGAGCAGTTCTGAGCTGCCAGATAACTCTACTGAGCGAGCTTCAAAACACTATTTACAAAGAATTGCAATCCAGGATTAACCAGCTGTCCAGATTGCTCTTACACAATAAAGCAGTTTGGACGCTTTTGCGATAAAATTTTGGACGCTTTTGCGATAAAATTTCGGGCCCTTTTGACCTGTAACTTTCAAGCAGCATTGGGTAAGCGGGTCCTGCAGCAGACCAACCGAGGTGAGGCAGCCATTTGCCCTAATTGAGTCGCACCTTCCCTGGCCTGAATCGCTGCAGAGCGTCGCCGCCATGGCTCCAACGACCACATGTGCGCGGGGAGATGCAGCTCACAGAAACTCACAGTACAGTCACTTCAAGTTTGCATAGAAGAAAAGGAGGGCCTGTCCGCGCCGGGCGGTCCCCAGGCCCTCCCCTCCCCCGTCACAAGGCTGCTTTAAAAAAAATTAAATGGGGAGTGGAGACTTTTGCATAGTTATTTTCTGTTCCCCCTCCCCAGCACCCTCACAAAATGTCATACTTACCTGTCCAAGCCGTACAACAGCAGCAAACTCTGGGGGTCCCTCGCGCATGCTCGGAAAAACCTTATCCAATGATAGACGGCCTCTGCATAGGAATAAATGGGATTTTTACGCAGTGACGGGCCCACTGGCCTGTTTGCGCACAGATTATAGGAAATACAGTCTGCATAGAGAATATCTATTCTCTCCTCTTTCTAGTTCCCCGTCTGTCCCCAAACATGTGACTGAGGAGGGGCGGGACTAAGAGCGGCTTCCGTGCGTCCAGCCTAACAGTGTCATAGACCCTTGAAAGTCACTTGCCACGCCAGCAGCTGCCTGGACTGTAGGTCGGAGGTCAGTCAGTTGCAATACAAGATCCAATCCTCCCTTCATTGCATATAAGGGGATTGTTAGAGTAGAAATCACATAAATGATATAACAGGCGATCAGTGGCGTAACAATCGCCATAGCGACCCAGGCGGCCGCTATGGGGTCCCGGGCACAGGGGGGCCCGGCCAGGGCATCCCTCTGATGCCGTGTGGGCCGCTATGGCATCTCGGGGGTGCTGGCTGTCACTGACATAGCTCAGCAGCATCTATGAGGGAGAACATTCCCCCTCACAGCCGCTGCGGAGCTGTGTCAGTGACAGCCAGCAGATGCGGCAGAATAGGCCGGTTACACTGGCATTTGCAGTAAAGAAGGAGGCGGGGCCCGCCTAACAGCAACTCCGCCTCCTCTGACATCACTGGCCAGCGATCTAAGAGCAGGTGAGGCCAGTGATGTAAGAGGAGGCTGGGCTCGTCGATAGAAGAAGACGGAGCCCGGGACGGAAGAGGAGGCGGGGGCCCGGCGACCACGGAAGTGGACAACCCTGACAGGTAAGAGGCATGCAACCCAACTGAGACCTTGCAGAGCCCACTATAGAGAGTCTGTGGTGGGCTCTGCAAGTGGCATAACTAGCAATCACGGGGCCCCATACAAAATTTTGCTATGGGGCCCTGTGATTTCTAGTTACGCCCCTGCAGGCGATGAATTCGAATTAGAACACATAGAGGTGCCTGCGCTGCAGAAGGGGAATACTGAGAATGCGGAGATGTTGGGTCGATCGGCATTGTGTGCTGCCGTGGCTGCTTTAGGGTTTGCTCACCTCTTGTTCTGGTGACAACTCTAACATTTGGGATTTCTCATTTCTTTCTCTCTTTCAGTCTTGCGATTGGCTATTCCTTTTTTTTACAGGCTACCAATGAGTTGATTTCTTTAATGCAGCCACGGGGGGGGGTCATTTTCCTAAGTGGAGGCCCTGCCACATCGATGGCACAGAGGCCACAGCAAAAAAAAAAAAGAGGTTTTATATAATACAATCCCCTGCAGGTGGCCACACACGTATCGATTTGTTATCAATCAAGATACAAGTGATTGTTCATTGATTGAAATGTCAACTGATACAACAGATACAGTATCAATTGAAAAGATGATCTTTCACATACCAATGATCAATTAACCAATGTGCATTGTGATCGGCTGTTCTTCCTTCAGCCAATCAGAGACGATCAATAAAATTCTGCCACAGCCGATTGGCACGCCAGCATCAAAACCGATTGGAATCTCCCTAGATCGATGGAATGGAGGGTCTGTGGTTTACAGTTGTTACGTCATCATTCAGTTTGCATGGAACGATCGATAATCATAACCGATACGCGTGCGGCCACCTTAACCCCCAGCAACGGTCAGCGACCGTCCAATAGCAGCAACGCAATAGCGTCGTATGGAGATCCTGCTGAAGATACAAATGTTTCCATTGCACTTCGATACAAAGTTGCAGATCGCTCCAATGAAAATAATTCACGTTGAAAAGGGAAAAAAAAGAAAAAGTCTTAAAATAATTATTCCATTGTAGACCCTCTACAGCAGCTAAAGTGTCCCAGTCTCTGTATTGGGGTTCATAGTCACTGACCCCCAATAAACATTCACCCTTGTGTATTCCTAAAATGAAGGTGGGTTATGGGTAAGTGTCCAAAAGGTAGCAGCCAACGTGGGTCACCAGCGGAAAGCCGGCACATTACTCGCTCCGGACTCAAAGGATTATGGGAAAGGCCATATGCACGATGATCCAATCAGGTTTTATCTTCTTGAAGGGCGGACATATGACGGAAGTCGCATCACAAGGGCGGCACGCTGCCGCATCGACCTCCTCTGTGCAATACTGAAGCAGGCCGCCTCGCCTTCACGGCGTCGGCGCTCTGCCGTAGAAATGTGAGCGTTTGTCCCTCTTTACCGGCCTTATTACAGTCTCAGAGGGGCAAGTTATAGTCTTAATACCTGTCGCAGGGTAAGGAATGAGGGGGTGTACCCTCCAGAATACAGATCGCGATTGATACTGGTGGAATGAAGTCATTTCGCAGCCTCCGAAGACCCTTCCGGTCAGGTCAGCTCAAAAGGGCCCATTAAACGCCCGGGTCAGACGCCAGGCCCCTTTCTTGGCTCTACTGCTTCGTACCACGGACCGCCGTTTAATATCTCCGAACCTTCATCTCTTTGCCAGTCACGCCGGCAGTGTTGGAGTTGACGTAGTTGAATCGCGGTCGTTGGTTAGAGGTTTGCTTCTTGGTGTTGACTGGGGGGTTGGGCTGGGACCCCGTCCCCTGGTGGTCCGCCTGCTTCACTGTTCCTGTATGGACTGAGAAGAGAACGTTGTGATTTGTCACACTTTCCAAAATCTATGACCGAATGCAGTAAGTCACGGCGATCAATAATCAATCGGCCTTCACTGGCATTGGCTGTCCTATTGTCCTAAATGGGTACAAGGTCAAATCTTATTGGTTGGTCTAGGTTAGGGTCACTGCGTCTTGTATCTGAACCCCAACTAGATGACATTACGTTTTCTAAAGCAAAGTTCTGTTGTCACATGCTAGTGATGCTGATCTCCTCAAGCCTCATTCAGCCACTTCCTGTTAGTTCAGAGGAAGAGGGCATACAGGGTAAGTGCACTTTGTTGTAAAGTGAACATATCCTTTAAGGAGAACCAGTCTTGATTGGGGTTTATGAACCGAATTTTGCATATTCACGGAGAATTACAGATGTTTTATAATTGGGCCTTCACCATTCTAATTAGGGATGCACCGATACCGATTCTCATCTCGTACTGGGCCAAATGCTCCGATGCCTAGCCCGATACTTGAGCTTCCTGTATCAGGAACCCGGGCAGTGAGCCATCACCCGGTGCCTGGCTTCCTGATTGGCCAGGAAGCCAGCTCCATGCTCACTCGTCACCAGGTGACGAGGGAGCATGGAGCCGGCTTCCTGCCAATCAGAAAGCCGGGCGCCATATAATAAAGCATTGCTCGGCTTCTCTAATTGGCCAGCTTCTCGACAATTCAGGAAGCCGGGCAAAGGGTCATTACACAGCGCTCGGCTTACCGATTGGCCAGAAAGCAGGCTACATGCTCCCTCCTCACTTGGTGACGAGGGAGCATGGATACGGCTTCCCTGGTAATCGGGAAGCCGGCTGGCGAGTCATTACACGCCGCCTGGCTTCTTTAATGGGACTTCCGGTATCGGTATTGGATATCGGCGAGTAGCAGAAAAAAAAAATATTGATACTCGTACTTGATACCGAAAAACCGGTATCGGTGAATCCCTAATTCTAATAACTTTATTTAGTCAGCTTGATTCGAGTTCCGAGGTGACCTGAAAAGTGACAGCTGCTGCCATTCACCTGCTTACACTTACTGTCTCCCACTTTCTATGTGTGTACAACAGCACAATAATATACTAGTTTATGATCCTCTTAACAGCTAAATACAGAGATAAAAGACATATATGGGAGCTCTTTTATCCGTCAATACTTCTGCCCATACAGCCCTAAGATTTACACAACTCTGCCACAAAGCACAGCCCTGTCTAGCCGGAAAGGAGACATAATCTTTCTCTGCTGCAGTTTCATTTACTTCTAGTTCTCTTCCCCACACTGTGATTGGAAAGCAAAAGGAGAAGCAGAAGACGGATGAGCTCATCTCTCTGTCACTCTGCGCTCTTCTCCTGCCACATGCATTGCAAAACACCTAACTAGCTCTTTGTACTGCTCCTCCCTCTCCCATTCTGAGCTCTGCCGTACAAGGATTGCAAGAAGCCAAATTCAGGTACTGACACTGCCAATTATATATTATGGAGTACAGAGCGGCATCATTTGTGAAATTGCCGGTCGTTCAGCTTTAAAGCTTATTTAGAAAGATCAGCAGCTCCTCCTTGGAAGTCCCACTCACCTGCGTGGTTCTGTGGAAGTCTGACCTGCGCTACGGGCAGCACAACCTTTCCTGGAATGCGGCTGTGCCCTCCCGGAAGACCGTTATTCTGGATCTTGTGGTCAGAATTGCTTTCCAGGATTCTGCTGCGGGAAGGATGATTCTTTGGTCTGACCAGCTGCAGAAATGCAAGAAATCATCCATTAAAAAGAGCCCCAAATGTGCGATTATCTACATTATAGACTGTTTGTATTGTATGGAAAAAAATTATAAATAAAGAATTTACAAACAAAAAAAAAAGAGCCCTAAATGGTATCACTTGAGTTCTAGTTGGAGCATTGTGGACGAAAATAGGTGATTTGGAAAAAATTCTCCATTTCAGTTCACTTTCCAGTTCAGCGATGTTGTCGTAGATTGTTCACTTCTCCGGCCTTCTCCAAACTCTTCACCCTTCTGTGAATAACCCTGATAATGTAACTACTTCTAATAGAATTACCTCTCACTAATACAACCACCACTACACCCCTGCACACCAGAGATCAGGCTGGCGGTGGGAGGGTCTGCTTGAGGGTCAACGGTCAGTATAGTAAGTGGAGGGGACTGAAGAGAAACCGAATGTAAAAGGAAGGAAGAAAAAGGAAAGTGAGGGGGAGGAGAAAAAGAAAGACAGAAAGAGAAAGACAGAAAGAGAAAGACAGAAAGAGAAAGAGAAAGACAGAAAGAGAAAGACAGAAAGAGAAAGACAGAAAGAGAAAGACAGAGAAAGAAAGAAGAAATAAAAGACAGAGAAAGAAAGAAGAAATAAAAGACAGAGAAAGAAAGAAGAAATAAAAGACAGAGAAAGAAAGAAAAGAAAGAAAGAAAAGAAAGACAGAGGAAGAAAGAGAAAGAGAGAAAGACAGAGGAAGAAAGAAGGAGAAAGAGAAAGAAAAAGACAGAAGAAAGAAGAGAAAGAAAGAGAAATACAGAAGAAAGAAGGAGAAAGAAGGAGAAAGAAAGAAGAGAAAGAAGAGAAAGAAAGAAGAGAAAGAAGAGAAAGAAAGAAGGAGAAAGAAAGAGAAATACAGAAGAAAGGAGAAAGAAGGAGAAAGAAAGAAGGAGAAAGAAAGAGAAAGAAAGAAGGAGAAAGAAAGAAGAGAAAGAAAGGAGAAAGAAAGGAGAGAAAGAAAGAAGGAGAAAGAAAGAAGAGAAAGAAAGAAGAGAAAGACAGAAGGAGAAAGAAAGAGAAAGAAAGAGAAAGACAGAAGAAAGAAGCGAAAGAAAGAAAGACAGAAGGAAGAAGAGAAAAAAAGAAGAGTAAGAAAGAAGGAGAAAGAAAGAGAAAGAACGAGAAAGAAAGGAAGAAGAGAAAGAAAGAAAAGCAATGCACTATTTTTCAATATTGAGTATGAGTTCCGATATTTCTTTTTCGGTACTCGCTGAAACCGAATATCGTTACCGGTATCCCGAGGTACCGTGGGCCGTCATGACCCACCGCCCAGCTTCCCGATTGGCTGGGAAACATCCCTAATATATTATATAAATAAATATTCTTGTTGCCTGGCTGTCTCTGACTTCAATACTCTCTAAGGCACAGACCAGGAAAGTAGAGGGAAGTCAGGACAAATCTGAATTCTGGTTCTGAGACATAAACCCAAAAAAGTGCTGAAGCCTCGAAATGGTCACGTCAGCCATGGAGCCGGTATTTTCAGGAGAGGCCAGGGATAGCAGCCGACACAGCAGCGGACACTCCGTATGTAACTCTAAATCCTGCCTCCCTTTGACCCTTACCCCCTGGCCCGTGACCTCAAAGGACCGCGACCTCTTCTTCCTGCGTTTGACTTCCAGAGGCTCCTCCCTCCTCTCCGGCTTCTGGGCCCCTTTCTTTGGCACGCGCTGCCACATGCCCGGGGAATCCCTCCGCTGGTTTCCTCCCACGCCTCCCGCCAGTGCCACCACCATCTCCCCGGTGCTGGTGGAAAGGTTATCCTCGCTGGCGGCGTGGTGGAGCGGCGAGCTGGGCGTCTGCTGGTGGTGGAACGGGTTGTCCTCGCTCTCGCTCAGCGAGTGAACGGACAGGTTGCTCCTCTCCGTCGGCTGGAGAGGCTGGAGGCGGTCACCTTCGATGGCCCGGGAACGCCGCCGCGCCGCCTTCACCGATATGCTTTTTATGCTGCTGAGAATTTCCTTCTTTTCTGTAAAAAAAAAAAAAGTAACAAAAAACAACATTATTACAAAAATCTGAGAGAAGAACCTAGTGCAGTGCATAGGGACCCAGTGCCTAACTATCGGGGACATGTGGAAGAATTAAAAAAATTGGGACCAGCGTTTGGCCACTCCTCCAACTCGTCATGTCACATGAGGGCAAAGCCACACCCTCACAGGAAAAGGCAGTCATAGCTCCGCCCTCAAACTCCTTCACTGTAACAAATGAAATAGGTGGGCGGGGCTGTGACTCAGCGCTCCGCCTCTTACCTTTGCGCGTTAAAGCAACCTTGTCGCCGCTCTCGGGGGAGGAGTTGATGTGTCCGCTTACGCTCGCCAGATTGCTCCTCGGAAATGACTGCAAAAGTATAAAATTATATAGGTAAAGTGGACCCCCGGGCAAACAAATACAAAGTACCTTGTTGGCCATCTTTGAATTATTGTAAAATTACTACATACATTTTAATTGCTGCATATTTAATTCCCTAAATTATTTCCTT